TTTTCTGGTTTGTTGTGGCTTTTTTGGTTTGCTGTGGCTTTTTTGGTTTGTTGTGGCTGTTTTTGGTTTGTTGAGACTTTTTTTTTTGTTTGTTGAGGCTTTATTTTGTTTTGTTGTGGCTTTATTTGTTTTGTTGTGGCTTTTTTTTGGGGGGGGGGGGTTTGTGGCTGTTTTTTTGTTTGTTGTGGCTTTTTTTTGGTTTTTTTGTTGAGGCTTTTTTGTGGCTTTTTGGGGCTTTTTTGGTTTGTTGTGGCTTTTTTATTTGTTGTGGCTTTTTTTGTTTGCTCTGGCATTTTTAGTTTGTTGTGGCTGTTTTTGGTTTGTTGAGGCTTTTTTTGGTTTGTTGTGGATTTTTTTGTTTTTGTTTTTTTGTGGCTTTTTTGGGGTGGTGGTGGCTTTTTTGTTTTTTGTTGTGGCTTTTTTTTGTTGTGGCTTTTTTAGTTTGTTATAGCTTTTTGGTTTGTTGTGGCTTTTTTGATTTGTTGTGGCTTTTTATTTTGGTTTGTTGTGGCTTTTTTGTTTGTTTGTTGTGGCTGTTTTTGGTTTGTTGTGGCTTTTTTAGTTTGCTGTGGCTTTTTTGGTTTGTTGTGGCTGTTTTTTTGTTTGTTGTGGCTTTTTTTGTTTGCTTGTGGCTTTTTTATTTGTTGTGGCTTTTTTGGTTTGTTATGGCTTTTTGGGGGGGGGCTTTTTTTGATTTGTTGTGGCTTTTTTTGGTTTGTCACATTTGTGTTTGTTTGCGTTTGTTATGAGCCCTCCCGGTTTCCGTACAGCTTTAATCCAGCCATTACCCCAGACTCGCTGATAACCTGTTTATACGAGACATGTGACGGGGTCCAGTGCAGTAGACTGTGCAGAGGGAGGACCAGCAGGGCGGAGGAGGGGGACGAGGGCCGAGGGGGAGGAGGGGGTGTTGTCCCAAATAAAATCAGAATGACCACTCTTCCAGTAATTTGACCTCTGACCTCTCCAGATGGTGACCCCTCCCCTCCAGCTGTCTGTTGTGGGTCCTGCTGCGGCTGTACGGTAACAATAGGCGCCGTAAATCACTTTCATGAAACTATATCCTCGTTTAACACAAAGACGGGAGCAGTTTAAACACCGAGCTGCAGTCACGTGTGAGGGGGGAGAACACGGGCAAGAGAGTACTGTTACTTTAAAATATTATTATCAAAGAGAAGGAAAAAGAACTCACACTAATAATTATTCAAGTTAGAGTAAAAATGTACTTCTTGAGCAAAAATTGTGACAAAGTATATTTAAAAACTTGATGAGTGTAATGGAAGAGACAAAACATAAAAAGTGTTCAAAATTTTGTATTTCACAAACAAAAAAACACAGAAATTCATTTAAACAGAATAAAAACAGTGTTTAAGCTCTATTCACGCTTACGTCACAAACCAGGAAGATGTTTGGAAACGTGCGATTACAACTTCAGGCTTGCTCTGATCTAGGAAAAAAATTAGAAAATGTCCCAGTTTTCTTCATCTCCATGTCATTGTAGTGTTCCGTTAGTCAGGTTTCATCTGTCATCAAAAAAATCAAATAAACTTACGGATGACATAAAGCTTTTTTCGCTCGTAGACTTAAGCCCTATTCTCACGGGTTTGTTGAGGCTTTTTTTGGTTTGTTGAGGCTTTTTTTTTGTTTGTTGTGGCTTTTTTATTTGTTGTGGCTTTTTTGTTTGTTGTGGCTTTTTTGTTTGTTGTGGCTTTTTTGGGTTTGTTATGGCTTTTTTGTTTGTTGTGGCTTTTTTGTTTTGTTTGGTTTGTTGTGGCTTTTTTGTTTTGTCGTGGCTTTTTTGGTTTATTGTGGCTTTTTTTGGTTTATTGTGGCTTTTTTGTTTTGTCGTGGCTTTTTTTGGTTTGTTGTGGCTTTTTTTGGTTTATTGTGGCTTTTTTTGTTTGTTGTGGCTTTTTTATTTGTTGTGGCTTTTTTTGGTTTGTTGTGGCTGTTTTTGTTCAATTAAACAGAATAAAAACAGTGTTAAAGCTTTATTCACGCTTACGTCATAAACCAGAAAGACGTTTGGAAAGATGCGATTACGAAGAAGACCGGAGAGCACAGGTGAGTCTGAACCAAGAACAGGTGAGGGGAAGAAGGTTTCATCTGTCTTCAAAAAAATCTAATAAACTTACGGATGACATAAAGCTTTTGTCGCTCGTAGACTTAAGCCCGATTCTCATGGGATAAGTACAACCTGCGGACGTCTGGTCATTTGCACATTACCACTCCACCTCTGTGTTACCTGCAGTGCATTCACATGGGAAAAGCAAAGTCTGTAAATTACTCAATTTTACTGACATGGGGAGTTCTGCTGTTCAGACCGGCCTATTCACTCCACCACACCACCAGACCATAACTGCACTGTCTGTGGTGGTACGGTGGCTGAAGGGCTAAGCCTGGGTCTTTCTGTGTGGAGTTTACATGTTTCTGCCCGTGTCTGGATGGGTCTCTTCCGGGCGCTCCGGTTTCCCCCATCAACCCAAAACATGGAACATAAGTCTCCAGGAAGAACAGCTGAGAGCAAATGGAGGTCAATTCAATACAGTCAGTCAATTCAAATACTTATAGTTTTATTTATATAGCGCTTTTCACAGACATTTGTCACAAAGATGTTTTACTGTGCATTATGCATTCACTCCATACCTGGTGGTAATAAGCTACTGTTGTAGCCACAGCTGCCCTAAGACAGACTGACTGAAGCGCGCCTGCCAATCGGTTCCATCAGCCCCACCGACCCCCAACACCACACACACACACCTTTCATACTAGGCAATGTGAGTGAAGTGTCTTGCCTAAGGACACAATGGACACAATATTTTTGTGCCTGGTGCCCCACTGTGGCTCCTGATTTTCCCAGTATCTCCCATCCAAGTACAAACCAGTCCACTGTATGTTTTAATATTTTGTATTTGTCGTGGGTGATGCTCTATGTTTTTGTTTTGTTTTTATGCTGATTTTTGTATTTTGTTAAATGTTATATGTTAAGTAGAAGGAGCACTTGTACCACTACTTTGCACATCTACTTGAGTAATATATAATTTAGCAGTAACAGCGCTCTTACTTAGCACGGTTTGGCACAGAACAGCCTCGACAAATGACATGTTAATAACACTTCCCATGTAAACTCCACAAGACGCATTAGACTCATTAGTTCGTCTGATAATCTGCTCATGCAAATCAGACCTGCTCTTTAGTCCTCTCAACATATTCATTAGAACCGTTAACCTCTCCATCGCAGCCCACTCTTATCCAATTATCCACCCTCTCCTCTTCCTCCCTCCTCGTCGTCCTCCTCCTCGTCGTCTCCCTCCACATGTTGTTTGACAAATGAGTGGTCTCGCCTGATCAAGCCTCTGACAGCGCACACAGATGGGAGGGGACCCGTGCCAGGGCCTGTGCAGAAGGTACTGAACATATGCCACGTTCATCGAAGCACCCATCATCACCCACGGGACACGCGCAGACACACGGGGGGAGGACGGGTGGGCGGAGGTGTGGGTGACAGGAGGCGTCCGCAAACCACCAGCTGAGGAGAAATTAACTGATTTATTGATTTTTTGTCTGGGGCGCACTGGGAGTCGGGGCAATATGTTGTATAATTTTTTTAAGATGCACTGTGTAACTTTTCGGGTGGATGGTCGGGCACCTGCTCGTCTCAGTGGAGATGCTGTTGATTTAACTGGGATATTGTGTGGTTTATTGTGTCTATAGAGTCATAATTGATGACACTCGAGTGTCATTAGTTTGTTCGTTTTTTTTATAAATAAAATCAAAAATAAGAAAATAAAAAAACAACAATTTTCTTCATTATTTGTCTCAAAAATCTAAATGAAAAAATGAATAATGATTTGTTTTTTCAATTTTCGATTTTGTGTGCGCCTGCGTAGACTGTCGGGTGATTAGGACTGAGACCTGGACCAGACCGGGACTGAGACCAGGAACAGACCAGGAACAGACCAGGACCAGACCGGGACGGAGACTGGGACGGAGACCGGGACTGAGACTGGGACCAGGACCAGAATAGGCCTGAGATCAGAACTGAGACCAGGAGTAAGACCAGGACCACGACCTGGACCAGAAGGGGACTGAGACCGAGACTGAGACTCAGTCCTGGTTCAGTCCCGAAAGTCCGGCATCGTAATTTAAGTCACATAAACGGGGAAACGGCTGTTATGTTTTTTCCATTATTCATTTAAACACAAAATCGAAAACTGAAAAAACAAATCATTATTGCTTGCGCAGGACAGAATTTTCCGTCCCGTGCAGACCTCTAGTACAAACTCCACGCAGAAAGGCCCGGAAATTGAACCTGAAAGTGCACAGTGGCTGAAGGACTTCTCACCTCACTGCAAGAAGGTTCCAAATGAATATATCTCAGTAACAGAAGAAAAAAAAAAAAAAATCACATTTAATGTAGTAATTTCTGTCTTTATTTTGCAGATTTGTAAACAGGATTTACAGTAGCTCATGACTCCACCTACAGGTAAAAAGAAGTACAACAGGTCTTTGTGATATAAACTAACTATACTATTTCTACTTTTGTGATGAACCACGCTAACATATTTACATAAATTATGATGGACAAAAATGTACTTTCTTACATTTTAATTCTTAAATCATAACTTCAGTTCATGTTAAATATTGCATATTTATTTTGTAAACAGACAAATGGGTAAATGTGTAATAACTACACTTTAGTTAGACTTAATAAAGTATGAACAAAGACTTAATTCATAAGTAAGATGTAATTATTCGTTTTTCAAAATAAAACCAAAAACAAGAAAACGAAAAAACTACTATTATTTTAATTAATTTGTCTCCAAAACCAAAATGAAAATGTGTTTAAATAAATGATGGAAAAAACGGATAACGACAGTTTCCCGTTTCCATGACAAACCGGACTGAACTAGGACTGAAGCAAGACTAAAACAAGTGTAAACCAGGACCAGGACTAAACCAGTCTCAGTCCCGGTCTCAGGATCACTCAACAGCACGGGTGAACCTCCGGACCCATCCTGACACTCTTGGTTCAGTCCTGGTGTAGTCTTGGTTTAGTCCTGGTTTAGGACTGAGACTGAGCCCAGGACCAGACCAGAAGTGAGACTGGGACTAGACCGGAACTAGACCTGGCTGAGACCTGGTTTAGTCCTGGTTCAGTCCGTATGCGGCACAAAAGTCCGGGCAAGTCCGTTAAGTCATGTAAACGGGAAACGCAAAATCAAAAACTGAAAAAACTGAATCATTATCCGATTTTTCATTTTGGTTTTGGAGACAAATGATGAAGAAAAATCGTTGTTTTTTCGTTTTCTCATTTTTGGTTTTATTTTGAAACACGAATGAACGAACAATAAAACCAAGTCAGAATTAGAAAACGTGTCAAATATATATATGTCAAATGCACTTTAAGTCTTTGTTCATACTTTATTAAGGCTTTATTTAAGAGAAACGTAAAGTGGCAACCTCCAACAGAACAATAACATTTTAAATATTCACGTTTATTATTATTTATTTAATTAGTAGGTTATATTTATCATACTTTCGTAAAAATAATGTAAAATAATGAACATTTTGGACGTTAAAACATAAAAATAACACTGTAAGGTAATTTTAAAAAAGTGGCAAACGTGTGCAAAACTTCACTTCCCATAATTCTGTGCTCTCGGGTCAAAGGTCAACTTCAGGTCATTAGATCAAGCGCCTCATTGTCGTTATTATTATTCCTAAAACTAACCTGTAATCTAATCTAATGTTCCTCTGAAAGGGTTTGTACCAAGATTATCGTGAAATTAAATATTGTGATTTTGACGATACAAAAGCAAAATATGTTTCGGGTTTTGAACAGTTTGTAAATATTTCACTTTAAAACCGATAAACATACATTTAAAAAGAACAATTTAACATGTACCTGACGTGTCCACCTGCCTAATCCATCCTTAAATTACATTCAAGCTTATTTATTATTAATGATAAAGTGGAATTATTTCAAAAATCACTTAAAGAGGGGGTATTATGCATTTACGTTTGCTCTCCATACTAAGTTACTCCCCCTTCTGAGCGCTATCACAACACAATCAACATGCATCAGGTTTGTCAAGTTGTTGTGCACAGTTTTGTATCATGTTTTTGTAGATTTTTGGAGAATTGTCGTGCGGGACAACGGGTGACGTAGGTTTGTAGGTGGAACTTTGGACAGAATCTAAAAAGTGACGCAACTGAGTACGGTCAATTAGATGCTGAAATGGGTTTTAACGTTCTGAAATTTTACGGGCAGGTATGTGGGCGAGTAGTGATTACACACGGATGGGTCAGGATGAAACCAGGACTAAACCAGGACTAAACCAGGACTAAACCAGGTCTAAACTTGAACGCGAGAGAGAGTATCCACAAAGCGCGATCGGGCGATGACGACGGTGCGGAGCTCTACGGTGGTCCTTTCGCCCGTGGTCACCCGACAGTTTACACAAGTGCACCGCTCTGTCCGACCCCGCAGTGAGTCCTGGTTTTGCCCTGGGTTAGTCCTTGTTTATTCCTCCTGGTTCATTCCTGGAATCAGTCCTAGGTTAGTCCTGGGTCAGTCCTGGTTCAGTCCTCCTGGTTCAGTCCTCTTGGAATCAGTCCTGGAATCAGTCCTCCTGGAATCAGTACTCCTGGAATCAGTCCTCCTGGAATCAGTCCTCCTGGTTTAGTCCTTGAATCCATTGTGGTTCAGTCCTCCTGGTTCAGTCCTCCTGGTTCAGTCCTCCTGGTTCAGTCCTCCTGGTTCAGTCCTCCTGGTTCAGTCCTCCTGGTTCAGTCCTGGAATCAGTCCTAGGTTAGCCCTGGTTTAGTCCTCCTGGTTCAAGTCCTGGTTTAGTCCTCCTGGTTCAAGTCTTGGTTTAGTCCTGGTTTAGTCCTGGAATCCGTTGTGGTTTAGTCCTCCTGGTTCAAGTCCTGGTTTAGTCCTCCTGGTTCAAGTCTTGGTTTAGTCCTGGTTTAGTCCTGGAATCCGTCGTGGTTTAGCCCTCCTGGTTCAGTCGTGGTTCAGTCATGGTTCAGTCCTGGTTCAGTCCTAGGTTTAACGTTGATATAATCACGAGTTTACGGGCGGGTGTGGTGCTGTACTGCGCGGGTGCGGGTCTCCAAAAATGGCCCAGGAGAGATCGCTAAATTACTCAAACATGCATGGATGACTCTAAAACCTCTTCAGCACGTTTTTGATGAGGGAACGACATTATAACATCAGAGAAAGCACAAAAAATAAATACATTTTGCATAATACCCCGTCTTTAACTTTATAACTTTCAAATTCCAACTGTGAAAATGAAAATAATTATCTTACCACTCCTGTGTAAATTAATTTTCAATTTCTGTCCACCAATTCACCCAGTTGTCTTGAAATGCAGGTAAAAACAAACACTGTAAACATTTAAAATTTAAAAATGTAAAAAAGAAATAAAATCTTGTGTCAAACATGAACGAGTAGGAAAACCTAAAATGGCTTAAAATGACTTGAATTCAAAATATTTATCTTAATTTGAGTTTTGACGGCGTTTTTAATATGTTATATAGGGGGTAGAATTTGTAAAGAGGCACTGTGTAACTTTACTGCTTGTCTCCATGGTGATGTAACCTGGAATGTTTCACGGTTTAGCACGAAACTCAAATACAGAAGTTTTTTTTTTTTTGCTGGATAAAATTGCCAAAGATCTGACCTGTAACTTGGACCGGTGGCGTCCACTTGCACTTGCTTGTCTCCATGGCGATTTTAATGCCATACTGTGGAACATTACAGTTACTGAAGCAGGTGGGAAACGAACCCTCACCAGAAATGTTACACAGTGCAGCTTTAACTTTAGCTCAAAAAATTGCAATTCTTTCTTGCAATTTCCTTGTACTGTTTTTGCATAACTGGGCTTGAAATCACTCACTTTTAAAGGTGCTCCATGTAACTTTTCTGCTTGTCTCTATGGTGATGTTACCTAGAATGTTTCATGGTTTAGCAAGAAACTCAAATACAGGCATTTTTTTTTGTTTTTTGCCGGATAAAACTGCCAAAGATCCGACTTTGAAAGCTTGAAAAATTATAATTCTTTCTCGCAATTTCCTTATACTATTTTTGTGTAACTTGGCTTGAAATCACTCAATTTTAAAGATTCTCTATGTAACTTTTCTGGTGGAGGTATGTCACCGGGTTTGGAATGTTCCGCAGTATGGCATTAACGTTATCGTCCATGCAGTTACTCAATAACAGGTGTTTTTATCGCTAAAATAACTTGAAAAATATGTACTGAGGCGGCATCTGACCTGTAACTTTCTCGTCTCCATGGGTATTTTAATGCCACAGTGCGCAACATTCCTAAGCGACAAGCAGGCCCACACCAGAAAAGTTCCACGGTGCAGCTTTAACTTGTATCATTACATTTTGGTCTGGTTTAAAATAAATAAATACAAGATTAATTGGATTGGAAACACTAACAAACATCAAGTAACTACACTTTAAAAAGGCGCTCTGTGTAACTTTTCTGGTGGACCTGCTCGTCGCCATGGAGATGTCGTGGCTACACCGTGCCTGGAATGTTCCTCCGTGCGGCATTACACAAAACGGCGACACCACGAGGCCCGAGTTCCCTGCTCAGAATTGTGAAATCAGTAGGAATTCATGTTTTGTTTAGTTTTTTCTTGCACCTGTGACTGAACAAATAAAAGATAGATACAGATAATGCCACACTGCGAAACATTCCAGACAAACCAGTGACATCTCCATGGAGACAAACAAAACGTGACGAACACCATAGGATACCGTAAGAGCGAAGATTACATAGCGCGTCTTTTAACTTGTCAAAAAAAAAAAAGAGATTAAGATTCAAATCCTGAGCTGAAGCCATTTTGCAGAATTCCGGATATTCCCGTCTCGTTTGGTTAAAATAGTCCGTGTTTTTTTTTTTTTTTTTTTCGGAGGGCGTTGATCAGGTGCAGCAGGAAAACTGTGGTTTCTTCCTCGGCGCGTCCAGACTGGGCAGAGACTGGCGCCGCGTGGTCTTGACATTTGTGTGGTACTTTCGGACCTGTCTGTGGGCACAAGGGAATAAAGTATGAAAGCAGAGATTATTTTTATTACTTTATTTATATATTTTATTGTTTTTTTACTTGTACATAAACATTTACATAATTATTCCTTATATGACACCAGCCTCTTGCTATTTATGGTACTTATTTAGAATTTATTACCATTTATATTTTTACTCTATTTTACTATCAATTTTACTTTTTCAGTCCTATTTTACTACTACCATTTTTACTATTATATTATTTTGTGACGTGAGCTACTGTGTCCAAATTATTTCCCTTGTATATCAATAAAGTTTGTCTAAGTCTAATTCTAAGTTAAATCATATTGTATTAAAACAAAAACACCCCAAAGCTCCATGCTTTTACAAAGCAACTGTACACACGATAAATACTGAATCCAAAAATATATTGTCCCAGCTTCCAAAGTACAGACCTGTTAATTATAAAGCGTTTTTGTTTCTCGTATCTAAAAGCTGTAAAAAATGCTTCTACAAACTCATCGTTGTGAATAATTAGGATGTTCTGAATGCATAAGGTAAGAGAGGAATAACTGTGGGCCTCTACAAACTGTTTCAAATGAACTAGTTCTGTTTTTCAAATGTATGAATTGGCTAAAATGTACATGAACTCCAATTTCATATAAAAGTTTGTGAAAAGCTTTGGAAAAGGAACTGGGATATTATATTATTATATTGTATATTATAACTGAGTGTGGTGAAAAGAAAATGCAATGAACATACTCAACATAAGCACACAAAAAAGCAAAAAATGATCAAAAATATAGAACAGTTTTCAGACAAAATGCTTTAAGTTTCAGTTAATCTTCCATTCTATAAGTAACAACAAAACTTGGATTGATTTGACACATTTTTGTGATAAATTCCTTGGAAATCAAATGAGAACAGAAAACGCAAGAGGTGCAAATGCAAGGAACAGTACAATAAAAGTGACTATTGTGGTCCAGAGCAAAAAAAAAAAAAGATCTGACATAGGCTTTTTTGCTGAAACGTTATTTAAAAATAAAAAAAGCTTTTGGACATCGGCCATCTGAGTGAGCTATGCATTTTTTTCACTTTTAAATTCCTTGAGAATGTCAAAAAATGTGCTTGAATAAATAAATATTTTTACTGTAACCTTATTTAAGTAAAAGTGTTCTAACTTGAGTATTTTTTAGTCTGTATAAGCCCCTCAGAAATATCCAACTACAGTCTTGTTTCCCAAAGTGTCACACGTTTTACTTTTTACCAGCAGAGGGCGGCAAACTACGCTCAGAAACAAAAATGCAGACGTTTCTAAACAGTTAAAAAGGTCACATATTACGCAAAACTGACTCTTGCTTGAACATTAAGCCGTTTTATAATGTTGTTGCCTCCTCAAAAACATACCCAGAGTTTGTTTTGTTTCATTCACACATGTTTGAGTAATCTTTTATTATTTGTCTGTCTGCACCTCCAAATCACACATTTTAAAACAGGTTTTAGATGAGCTTTGGTGACTCTGAGGAGGACAGTTTTTCCTAAATTATTCTAGTGAAGATGTATTTAGTTTAAAAAACATTTAAGACATTTATTAAGACATAAAACATTTTATTTAAAACATTTTATTTTGAGGTGTACATTTACATTTATATAATTATCCCTTATTTGACACCTCTCTCTTTCCATCTTTGTTGCTGCTTATTTAGAATTTATTATTGCCATTTATATTATTTTCTCTTTGTTATGATAATATATTGTGATGAGTGAGCTACCGTGTCCAAATAATTTCGCTTACGGATCAATAAAGTTTGTCTAAGTCTATATATCACCACATGACATCACCAGGTAGAACAGAGTTTGTCTGAAGAAGAAGAACTCAGCGTAAATATACAGGGTTTGTGTGTTAAAACATGTGAATTAGGGATGGGCATTCGATGATATTTTCTTAATCGATCGTCGGAAGAATTAACGATCGATTAGCGATTAATCATTAACGTTTTTAGATAAAAACTAGAAAAGCACTCAGAGAGCGCAGACCTCCGCCAAGGACTACCCCCATTTTTTATATAAATTGTGATAAAATCAGTCTTCTGGATCAGATCCAGATCAGCCTTTGGAATATGAAAGAGGATCCCATTGTCCATCCCTGAGTCAAATTTCATGGGGTTTGGTCAATAATTAACCGAGATATTGAGAAACAAAATTTTTGGCCCCATTTACCACAATGTTAACTAAAATTTCAAAGTGATCCAGAATCCAGGATTTCTTCCGGATCATCCCCAAAATGAAATCAGTTCTTCCTTTTCACATTTCCAACAAATCCTGAAAATTTCACCAAAATCGGTCCATAACTTTTTGAGTTATGTTGCTAACAGACAAACAACAACAAACAAACAGACAAACAAACAAACAAACAAACAAACAAACAAACAAACAGACAAACGCCGGCAAAAACATAACCTCCTTGGCGGAGGTAATTATCATCATTATTATTACTATCTGCACTACTAATCTGCATAAATAAATTCAACTTTACGACATATAAACCGTAACGACTCTAGAGTCACATCAATCCGTTTGACATTATAATGTGTTTAAATCAGTTTTGAGCAACTCTCACAGAAACGAAACTTAAAACCGCATCGCTAATTTACATAAACTCAGCGAAGATAAAACTACAGCTCTTGTGTCGCTGATGTGGTTAAATTTCTGTCGGATTAAAAGACATGACTCAGGTGAATACAGGTTAGTGTGACCAGATTTGCGTTTGTCAAAACCAGGACACTGTACGGGGGGAGGGAGGTGGGGACTCGTCATCGACATTGAGCGACTCTCACCTGGCAAAACTTTTTCCCACTGGACACACAGAAACATATGTGCTGCTTTGTACACTGTGCACATGGACTCACACTTGTCCCAAACGCAACGGAAAGTGTGGAATTTCTTGTACAAATCATCGTTAAATACACATTTGTGCTTCGGTACTTTGCAGACTGACCCACTGTTTCTGTTTGTGTCTCGCTCCTTCTGATGCAGAGACACATGTACAGACCTGTTTGGTCACACTACACACAACAACCTACATTCGGTTTGTCGATTAAAATTAACGTAACAGATGAAATTCTTAATGATCAATTATCGATTAAGCGATTAATCATGCCCATCCCTACTTAAAACATGTGAATCAAACAAAACACAACTCTGGGTATGTGTTTGATGAGGAAACAACAGAGATATTTAACAGGTATAACAGAGTTCAGAAAATAGTGTAACATTGGCCCTTTAATCTCTAACAGACAAACAGTAAAAGAGTTTGTTTTACCGGGCCAGATGTAGGACTGCCTCCAGGACATTGGAGCCTTCTTTCGCGCTCGTCTCACAGAACAGAGTGTTGTACGTCTGAAAACAAAGAGGATTTTGACGTTTTTATGGGTGTTGTCATTGTAGAATTTGATGAAGTCATAATTTCAGATGGAGAGGTGGGGCCTACTGTATGTAACTCAACGGGAGGTTCACTGTTTATGAAAGAAACCTCCAAACTTATGATCCGCAAATGCTGAACCTTATCTTTGTTTGTTTGGGATTGGCTCCACAAACTTGTCACGTTAATCTGATTCAGCTGACAGCAATCAAATATTTGGGATTGAATAATGGCACCGCTTTATGACAGGCCCGATAATTACACAGATATTAACTATGAAAGCTCCGAACAAACAGAAACTTATGTAACAGATGATACTCCCTACAACTGTACAACTCACCCTTACGTAACAGATAAAACTCCATAAACTGATAATAATGCATCCATTTTGAGGACTGTTTCCTATTCAGCAGTATCATATGTAGTTTAAAATGGTTAATCGCTATGGTAACAGTCCTAAATCATTCTGAAGTCGTCGTTTCTCACCATAGACAGTTTCTCTCCGTAGGTGCTGGACACACAGGGGAGCCCCTCCTGTCGCAGGTCACATTTGTTGCCCACGAGCATGATGGGAATGTCCTCTGGAGACACGTCCTGAAATGATTTTAGGAAAGTTCAGTTATAATCTATTGATAATCTTCAGTGACATCATGCTGGGGGTGTTCTACATGTATGTATATGGTGGAATGTTCAACAGTTACCATTAGGGGTGTGTAAAAATATTGAAATATCTAAATATTGTATCGTTTAATGTGATGATATAGTGTTGATATCATGGGCTGAGGTATCGATATATCACCAAGAGGATTTTTTGATATATTTTACTAATAGTCGGGGAAACAACGTCTCAAAAATGGGTTGAACCTGACATCGTCTGCCATACTTTTTTTTGTTTTTTCTGTTAACTGTAACCCTAAGGACCAATAATTGGAGGGTCTGCTCTTCCGGAAATATCGCAAAAAAAAAAAAAAATTGTGGCCATTTTAGTGTATGTAACCTTCGTTTTTTGACAAAAAAAAATTTGAAAAATGACAAATTTCCTGAAATCCTCAGTGGGTTGTGTTAGCTATCAATAAATGCATTCCAAATGACATAATAAAGTTATTTAGTTGTATTATATTTCTTGTGCGACACATTTCCATTGGGAGAACAGTTATGTTGGGGTTAAGGTCACAGTTAACAGAAAAAACACACGTAAAAAGTATAGCAGACGATGTCAGGTTCAACCCATTTTCTTTGACTCCCCGACTATAAGGTAAAAGGAGAAATTACATTTGTCAACTGGATAAAAGTTTCGACCAAATAACCTTTTGTCCAGTTGCGGCTTGGGGCCTTACTCCAGATGAAATAAGAGTCAGGTTTGTGGAGATGCAAGCCACAAAATATAAATACAAGTCAAAACTCACAAAACAACACACTGTTTCACACTTTCACAACTACAGAACAAGCAACACTACATAAAAACAAACTTACGGATCTGCCGCATGTAAAAAAGATTAAGATTAGAGTCAAATATGATTTAAAAAACAGTTTTATAATATTTTTTATTGGATAATCCTGGAGACTTTACCTCTATCATGTCGACCCATTCACGCACATTTAAGAAGCTCTTTTCACAGCTGACGTCATAAAGCAGCAGGACTCCATCTGCGCGTCGGAAATATGATTTGGCAATGCTCCGAAACCTGGAGAAAACCAAGATATTATTCAGAACAGTCTGTTTGATATTAACACAATATAAACCTGTTTTAAACCCACCTCTCCTGTCCCGCCGTGTCCCAGATCTGAAGTAATGTTGGCTCCCCATCCACGATTAAAGTCTTCATCTGGAAGTCAACTCCTGAAAACAGAAAATACTTTTGAATTAAAAACATGTAAAATTGTCACAAATGAGAGTGTCGTAAATGTCTATGGAGGTTAAAAACACAGCAGCTCCTATTTCCAGTTTGAAACATTAAACATTGCTTATAAAATTTTTATGTTAAGGGATTCTTAATTACAAAAACATTAGACATGATTTTTCATTTTTTCATTTGTCGTTTTGATTCTCATGACAGTTAGTCAATCAGAAAGCAGAATCAGCTTCACATGAGTCTCTCATTTGCGTTGCCTCCATCCATCCATTTTCGTCCACTTATACGGAGCGGTAACGGGGCCAGCAGTCTAAGCAGGGACTTTCAGACTTCCTTCACCCCAGACACTTCCTCCAGCTCCTCCGGGGGGACCCCAAGGTGTTCCCAGGCCAGCCCAGAGACATAGTCCCTCCAGCGTGTCCTGGTTTTCCCCAGGGCCTCCTCCCGGTGGAACATGCCCAGAACACCTCTCGAGGAAGGCACCGAGGAGGCATCCGGAACAGATGCCCGGGCCACTTCAGCTGCTCCTCTTGACGTGGAGGAGCAGCGGCTCTACTCCGAGCTCCTCCTGTGTGACCGAGTTCCTCACCCTATCTCTAAGGCAGCACCCAGCCACCCTGCGGAGGAAACTCATTTCCACGATCTCGTCCTTTCAGTCATTACCCAGAGCTCATGACCAGAGGTGAGGGGAGGAATGTAGATTGACGGTAAATCGAGAGCGTCGCCTTTCGGCTCAGCTCCCGCTTCACCACAACAGTCTGATACAGCGACCACATCACTGCCGACGCTGCACATGTCCGCCTGTCAATCTCACGCTCCATCCTCCCCTCACTCATGAACAAGACCCCGAGATACTTGAACAACTCCACTTGAGGCAAGGACTCTCCAACCACCCGGAGAGGGCAGGACACCTTTTTCCGGTCAAGAATGCTGAAATCCAGTTGGTTTAAAACTAAAATGCATCTCTGATCTGAATGGTCACTGCCTAAACCCTAGAACCTGCTGCCAGTCATGAATCAGTGCTAGTGCAGCTTCTAGGCCTGTCACAATAACAAATTTTGCAGCACGATATATTGCTACAGAGAATATACAAAAAAGTACTTTATGCAACTTCCATAGAATTCACTTATTTAGCCTTTTATAGCACAATCGTTCACCAGATGTCACCACTTTGACACAAAAATTGTAAACATGATAAATATTTAGCCCCAAAATATATAGTTCCAGGTTCTTTAGTTCATGTGCTCTTACCCAGAGTGGTGCTGGAGTGGACTTTAAACTCGTTCTTGCAGAGTCGGAGCAGGAAGCTGGACTTTCCCACCGCCGCGTCTCCGGCCAAAACCAGACGAAACGCCTTCTCTGAGGTCATGTAGCCCAGGTCTACACCGTCCATGCTCTCCTTCTGCACACCAAAGGAACACGAGTTTATTTAGATTTAAGTCAGAAATCTATGGTTTTAGTATTCTGCAACCATTTTAGAATCAGGATCTACATCAAAAATAATATAATCAAATTTAAATTCGACTTTTTAAAGCTTTTAACCATATTATAACAGTTTTCTCATTTACAAACTCAAAACTGTATGTTTATTCTCAAAGTATCACATAGTATGATATATGCAGTTATATTCACCTGTTAATATAAATTTAATACACAGTTATCTTTGTACCTGTATGTGTATGGCATAGTTTGCGTATATTATAATGTAGCAGTGTAGTATATTATATTGTGTACTTGTATGTTACATATATACTCACCTATATGTGTATGGTATTGTTCTGTATATTATGCTCTAGTACAGGGGTGTCAAACTCATTTTGGTCCGGGGGCCGTATCCAACCTACCTTGATCCCAAAGGGGCCGGATCAGAAAACTCATGTCATATAAACCCCAAAAATTGCAATAAGTTCAAATATTTGTGCAGAGAAAAGCAAATCTATTACAGAACTTTTTTAATTGATGAACTCTTTCTTGTACAAAATCTTATAATATTATGAACAACCTGAAACTTTAAGAAAAATGCAATTTCAACACAATGTTTTAACATGAACTTGTGTGTAAATAGGAATAAGTCAATTTTTGTTGTAAAATCCTGCACTCGGCTCCACTTTTCTCATTTTTGACATTTTGTTGATGAGGGTGTCACGTCAACAGTCAAAACGATCGTCCTTTAAGAGCGTTTGGAAAGAGACAATTTCATCTTCATTTGTGCTGCTCTGGTGGGAGGGGCCACGTACAGAGACGCTGGAGACGCTGCTGTGATAAACACCACAGAAAATTAACAAGATTTTAATAGAAAATATAATTAAAATATTTTAGTAGAAAATCAGCCGAGGGCCAGATTGAAGATCTTGGAGGGCCGGATCTGGCCCCTGGGCCGTATGTTTGACACCTGTGCTCTAGTACTTCTATGTGTATTGTATATTACAGTTATATGTGTACCAGTATTAGGGGTGTACAAAAATATTGCCGTATCGTTTAAGGTGATGATGCAGTATCGATATCATGGGCTGTTGAGTATTTTTTGGTTTATTTTACGGTTTATTTTACTAAATGATTTTGTAACAGCTCTACCGTTTTGCTGTTTATTCAAAGAATGGAAACTTGTTTATGCGACACGTTTGACATATTCAGTGTTTTGATGATTAAAATGTTTGTGTTTCATATTAACCTTGTATAAATTTAGTTTCACAGTCATGATTTAGCCTTAATTATTATTAGATAGTATTGAATCGATTTGAAATATCTCATATCAAATTGAAACTCACTGTATCGAGGTATGTATCATATCGCCAACTTCTCAATGATACCCAGCCCTAACCTGCATGTGTATTGTATATTACAGTTATATTTGTACCTGTATGTGAATGGCGCTGAGAGTCCTCCGCACTTTGGGCTCTGGGGCGGTCACACTGGACGTCTCCGCAGGTTTCCAGTCCAGGACCGAGCTGCTGTCAGAGCCGATGGCCGACTCTGCGTCCAGGGTCTCCGTCTGTAACACACGCTCACCGTCAGCTGTCTGTTTGTCTAATCCGAGCTCTAAACAGGCCCAGAAGCTTCTGAGATCAGGCTTTGAAAAGGAAGTTTGGCGAGTTGTCCTGTTTATATAATTTTATGCTGCATGTTCCTCTGCTCTTTGTAAACACAGTCATTTCTGAATAAAAATGAATTCCGCTTTAAAGAAACACCATGTAAACACTTAATTCCTAATGAAAATGATTATTCGGAATTAAATTTAATTCCAAAGTAAGTGGGTGGTTTATTCCGATTTTAAAGCTGAATTAATTTATTCCTCGATCATGTAAACATTTATTCTTCTTAAAAATAATTCCGGATGTTCAGCGCATGGTCGTTGGTTCGCCCTTCTGACGCGATCCGGACAATCCGGTTCCACCAGTCCTGGCTTCGGACGTTCATCCACTGCTCTTTGGATTTGCAAGAGGGATGTGGGAGTGGGCTGAGGTAGGTCTAGCCTGATTCATCAGTCGGTTTCATTTCTTGGAAACCATCTTGACCTTGCAGCATTAGGATTCGTTCACTCAATGGTAGGAGGGTACTTTTTTTTTTTTAAATTTAAGCAATTGCTGCTATTTGATCGTGACATATGTAATGCGCCAAATCCCGTAGGAAGAAGGGCACTAACATCTTTTCCCCTTGATAAAATTCACCAAACATTCTCTTTGTTCCGGCTTTAAATCCTTGATCTTGGGAATCGTTGCCAACACAGAATGTCTGTCTTCGTCTACATCCATCTCGACGCTTTGTTTACTGTTCCACAAAAGGGACCCAGACAGACACTTGAGTTTGACGTCATGGCTTCACAGCTCTTCACTGAATTGGTCCGTGCCTGGACTCGCACTTCTTGCAAACTGCCTAGTGTATTCCGATTCCTGACCTAGTCGCTGCAGAGAAATGAAACTGAGCGGAGGCACTAGGTGGCGCCGGCCTGGCTGAGGTAGAACAGCCGTTGACTCAGTTTGTCTTCTTCCTCCCTTCTCCGACACTCTTCCCTTCTCTTCCTCAGTTGACAGACATAAAGCGTGATGACAGAATTCTCCAGCTGCTTCTTAATTATCATCAGGACGACTGCGAAAAAAACTTTTTATCATGTTTGTGTCCGTGGTGTAATGACAAACGGAGATGACAAAAAAGCCGGTAGCAGCTGAAGTGTGAGTTCTCTTCCGGTCGACGTAAATATGTTCGTGTCCCTGTCCAATCAGAATCCTTCCCCACCCCCACACGTTGAGCGGAATTAAATAAAGACGATTTAACGTGTTTTCCATGTAAACCTCAATTCAGAATTATTATCTCCACATAAACTCGGAGGAGAATATTGTACCGTATTTTCCGCACTATTAGGCGCTCTGGATTATAAGACACACTGTCATTAAATGGTCTATTTTTGAACTTTTTTTCACAAATAAACCGCAACGGACTTTAAACGAAACACAACAGTTGGATGGGTCAGTGGGACTTTTGTTTGTTTGTGGCGTTCACAGTGACTCTGGGCTTTGTTCAGTTGTGGCGTGTAGGGAGGGTGCTGTCTGGGACCAACGGATTGTCGGCGTGTTCGCAGTGACTCAGTTGTTCAGTTGTGTCTAGAAAGTGGCACATTGGGCTCGCTTTTTCTGTTCGTTCCTCCATTCCGTTCCTCGTCGGCGTGGAGTGATGAGTGTGGCTGTGGGTGTTTGTCGCTGTGCGGTCGCTGTCTGCTCCGTGTGTGTTTGTGTGTTCTGCGGGTGGTGCGGCTTTGTAGTTTAATGAAGTCGTGCTGGGACACCTGAGTGGATTCGTGTATGGGGCGCTCTGGATTGTGGCGTGCGGTCGTTTTTTCATGGGGTTGGAGGCTTAAGAGCGCGACTAATAGCTCGGAAAATACGGTCATTCCGAAGTATTTAATTCAGAACAATTAATTCAGAATTAAAAACCATCATGTAAACGTGTCCAGAGATAAAGAGTCTCACCTCCTCCATGATACTGTCCCCTGTTCTGTTGTTCCCCCTCCTCCTGTCGTCTTTCTCCTCCTCCTCCACCTCCATCTCGTACTCGGCGCCGGCGTGGGAGCCCCTGAGCGTGGAGAGGCCGCTGTCGGTGAACACCTCGGGCAGACTGTCCTCTTCACACTCGCTGCTGCCCCTCCTCCTCCTCAGCCCCGGGTCGCACAGGGCCAGGGCCAGAGAGTCACAGCTCGGCCGGCGCGGGTACAGGGGGTAGTCGTCCATGCGCTGGCAGAACCTGGAAGAGCACGCCACAAATGATACTTTGGAGGGGCACTGCATGTAGGTCTATGGCAGAAGTTGAGCAGTTACCATGGCAAACGCTGCAAATTTTGTGCCTTCTTTGTCATTATTATTAGTTTGCACGAAAAACGACAACAAAAATTCCTTACACTTTTCTCATTCTCGTTGTGGTTTATTTTGTACGATCATAAACGATAAACTTTTGTGTCTTCGTAAACATTATTAAGAAACAAAAAACAAAACAAAACCTGACAGTCTTCATTCTCATTTTGCTTATTTTGATAAGATTATGAATAATAAACTTCTGTGTCTTTGTAAATATTAATGTTTATAGATTTTTTAAGTGGGGGTACGCGATACGTGACGACATTGACGTTAACAATTAACACCGTTCATAATCATCTACAGAACATCAATAACAGGCTACAACACATGAACCAGGACTGAACCAGGACTAAACCTGGACTAAACCTGGACAGAACCAGAAGGACTGAACAAGGACTGAACCAGGTCAAAATGAGCTCTAAACCAGGACTAAAACAGGACTAAACCAGAACTAAAACAGGACTAAAACAGGACAAAAACAGGACAGGACTAAACAACAGAAACTCCAGCACTAAAACAGGAACCAGACTAGAACAAAGACTAAAACAGGACAAAACTAGCTTTAAACCAGGACTAAAACAGGACTAAAACAGGACTAAACCAGGACTAAAACAGGACTAAACCAGAACTAAAACAGGACTAAACCAGGACTAAAACAGGACTAAAACAGGACAAACCAGCACTAAAACAGGACTAAACCAGAACTAAAACAGGACGGAACCAGGACTAGAACAAGACTAAAACAGGACAAAACTAGCTTTAAACCAGGACTAAACCAGGACTAAAACAGGACAAAAGTAGCTCTAAACCAGGACTAAACAGGACTAAACCGGGACTAAACCAGGACTAAAACAGGACTAAAACCAGGACTAAAACAGGACTAAAACAGGACTAAACCAGGACTAAAACAGGACTAAACCAGGACTAAACCAGGACTAAACAGGACAAAAGTAGCTCTAAACCAGGACTAAAACAGGACTAAAACAGGACAAAAGTAGCTCTAAACCAGGACTAAAACAGGACTAAACCAGGACTAAACCAGGACTAAACCAGGACTAAACCAGGACTAAACCAGGACTAAAACAAACTAAAACAGGACAAAGTAGCTCTAAACCAGGACTAAACCAGGACAAAAGTAGCTAAACTAAACCAGGACTAAACAGGACTAAACGGGACAAAGGACTAAACCAGGACTAAACAGGACTAAACCAGGACTAAACCAGGACTAGAACAGGACTAGAACAGACTAGAACAGGACAAAACTAGCTCTAAACCAGGACTAAACCAGGACTAAACCAGGACTAAAAACAGGACTAAAACAGGACTAAAACAGGACAAAAGTAGCTCTAAACCAGGACTAAAACAGGACTAAACCAGGACTAAACCAGGACTAAACCAGGACTAGAACAGGACTAGAACAGGACAAAACTAGCTCTAAACCAGGACTAAACCAGGACAAAAACAGGACTAAAACAGGACTAAACCAGAACTAGAACAGGACTAAACCAGAACTAGAACAGGACTAAACCAGAACTAGAACAGGACTAAACCAGGACTAGAACAGGACAAAACTAGCTCTAAACCAGGACTAAACCAGGACTAAACCAGGACTAAACAGGACTAAACCAGGACTAGAACAGGACTAAACCAGGACTAGAACAGGACTGTGTCTGTAATCACTCTGAACTGATCACAAATTAGGACAGTTGACACAGCAATTAGCAAATTCCAATTATATATCCTATCCCATCCTGAAAGTTGAAAAGTCCTCAAAATGGCCCCTTAGAGCACGAAGCCGAAAAGACTTTACAAAAAGGACTTTAAACTCACTTCTCGATGATGGTGTTGGGGGAGGAGTAGCAGATACTTTTGCTCCTGTTCTTATCTGGTGAGCCGCCATTAGAAGACTGGAACAGACAAGAGACGACAGCGTTTCACATACACACACACTAGTATAACACACACACACACACACATACACACAGTACAGCGGTCTAGGTGTGTCTCTGGTGTGTACCTTGGTGACTCTCTCCAGAGCAGCTCTCAGCCCGTCGTTACTGTCATGCAGCTTCCTGTTGGCCGTCCTGTCACAGATTTAAAAAGGCCCAAATTACACCATTTTCTGAAATTATAATGTTGTTTATTCATCACAAACACACCTGGAGTTGTGTTTTGTTTCATTCACACATGTTTAAACACACAAACCCTGCAGATTTAGGTGAGTAGTTCTATCAAACTGAAAATACTACCCTACCTTGTGATGTGCAACACAGCATTTTGAGTTTTGGAGATATTGACAGACTAATAATAAAGGTGTGAATGAAACAAAACACGACTCCAGAACGTTTTTGAGGATGGTAACAACATTCTAACATGTCTTAAAGCTCATAAGAATCCATTTTGTGTAATATTAAACCTTTAAGAGATAGAATTTGAACTTGTGTAGTGTGAATCCAACAATCTTATAAGATGAAAAACAAAAAGGTGACATGTTTGTTATGTGTTTTGTTCACTGTTTCCCTCAGTTTAAATGAATGTATATTAGAATCGTACTACATCATGTCCTGAGAAAGAATTGTTTTTGGTCTTGATCATCAAAGTTTACCGTTTTACATCTGAAGTCAGACTTTACTGATCCCGGCTCTAGTTTAAACACACATTTATCGCAGATTTGAAGTATTTATCAGTAAAACAGGGGAACAAATGTGATCTCACAAATATGGGGTTTGTCAGAAGCAAGTTACTATGGCAAAGTATCTGGACATGACAAGGACATGAGGCGACCAGAGATCTTTATTTCAATGACTTAAAGGTTGTATAGAGGATTTTTTTAAGGGAAGAGAAATACAGCGACAGTCCTTGTGCGCGTTCAGAATCACTGTTGAAGTTTCCTGTCTAGAAGTAATTCAGCGACCGACGCGTCAGTTTTTAGACCCTTCGTCTGCTTCATTCGCGCCATCGCTGGACGAGATCTCCAAGAATCACCTCAGTTTGGCTTCGCTCCTTTTCCTCTTTTCTTCTTTCAGCGAACTCAAAAACGGACTTTCTTTTGCGGCGAACCGGTCGTGGATTCTCGTCCGCCGTCGCGACAAACTTTGTGCGAAATGCGAGGAAGCGACAGTTCGAAAAAGCCTCTAAGAACCGCTGCGTAAACTGCGTAAACCGCGTAAACCACGTAATCCCCGCGCTCCGACGAGTCAGTTATACTAGGGAGTTTGATTGACAACCCAACAGCCAATAGAAAATGAGGCAGCCTCGTTTTCTATTGGCTGATGTTTATCTGGCCTCAACACGTCCACAGTTGATAGATTTTCGTTCTTTTTTTTTGGTCATCATAATTACAAAGCTGCTGCATCTCTGTAATGGTATTTTAATCTTTCACTGACAGTTTGAAACAAAACAAAAAATCCTCCATACAACCTTTAAGCAAGTGTTATAACCCTGGTGTTTGCTGTTCGTGCAGAATAATGTTATACAATTATGGCTTACGTTATATTTTGTGTTGCGTGGACATCTCCTGTGGCTCATTTTTGGATTGGCCAACCAGTGTGTATGTAAGTGGCACACAGAGAGAACCATGACCTGACAAAGATCCACTTATCGAAACACTGTTATTTATTAAATGTAGTGTGGGAGTAAGAGCGCAGGCTTTGACTCACTTTCTATGTGAAGAATAATGTTCCCACATCAAATGCTGTGATCATAAACTTTATATTTAAATTTATGAAGCGTCTCGAGGACTCGCAAAATGAAATGTTGTTTGAAAAATGCCCAAGCAGCGTCAGGTTCACCTCTGAACTCTGGAGGCACTGGAAAAACAGCTTATATGCACTAAAGACCATTATTATTGTTGTGTTTGTCTTCTTATTTCTCAATGTTCAAGGTTCCCATGGCTTTTTCATGACCTAAAGTGAATTTTCCATGACTTTACGGCACCTACATGTGTAAAATTGATCAGACATTTAGGGCTAAATATGAAATGTTAACTCATTCCACTCACCTTATGGTTTGGTTTTATATTGTTTTAACATTCAAAATACTGTCAGTGCATTTATTGTCATCTCGTCTAAATAAAAAGGTGCAAACGTTCAGAAATAATCATAATAGTCTAATGAGAACTTAACAGAACACTGCAGTTGTGTGAAAAAGATATTAAAATCCCATGACTTTTCAAGGATTTCCATGACCATGGGGACCCTGAATGTTTTATAAGGACCCACTGGAGTCTGGAATAAAGACTTTAAACACGATGATCCTTCAGTGTGGTCACTTACTGCAGTATCTCGATCTGACTCTCCAGAATGTCACGCTCGTCTGCAAACTGCCTCATCAGCTCCTCGTCTCTACAACACACACACACACACACACAGACACACACACACAGAGGTCACATGGGCTCATTACATCCGGCTCATAAAGTCATAAAACAGGGAGCATTCAACCTGCTAAAATTTGATTACCGCCAAGTGTGGTTACGTCTACAAATAAAACTGCTCTTGAACTTATGACTAAAACTGCACTATGCCACATTTCTGGTGCAGGGTCTGGTGTCCGCTTCCCTACACCGCATTCCAAATTATTATGAAAATTGTGTTTAAGTGTCATAAAGGTCATTTTTTTTGGTTTTCCAGTCAGACCGCCATTTTCAAGGCATGAAAACCTCAGATATTTCACAAAAACTTAAGCGTGATCATCGAACTATTAAGAGTTTTGTAGCAGATTCAGAGTAAACAAGTTCAATAGATGCAAGAATTGTGAAGCTCCTATCAAATAAAATAAAATGTAACTTGACCTTTTAAGATGTTTTGATTGAAATAGCTTTTGATTTCAGTAATACGCTAATGCTTCTAATTGAAAAATAAACAAAAACAATGCATTTTAAGATTTTACTTTTGAAAAAAATACTGTTATCATTGTTACGTTTGTTCAAAAACATTCGAATTGCACTCTACACTTTCTAAACATTGATGACTTGAAAATTATGACGAGAAAAATATCATTTGCATAATAATTTGGAGCGCAGTGTATATTGAAATGGTATTGCGTTGCCAGGGAAGTTCCACAGTATGGCATTAAACCTTTAATTCCAAGGAGACAAGCAGGAGAGGCCACAAACCAAGGCAGAGTTACATGTCAGATCTACGGAGAGACCAGCACAATGTTTATAGAGTAATAATAAATGCACCTGTAATTAATCAAATGCAATAATAATGAGGTGTTTAAAGCAATACTATGGAACATTTCAGGTAAAGCAAGCAGGTAGCTGACCTTCGTAGTTACACTGCAAAAAAGCTTGGCCAAAATGTAAGATATAAACACTTAAATCTATCAGAAAGTGACTTAAAAGTAGTGAAATTGTCTGTCCATGCAGCAAGATAAGTTTATTTGACAAGTTATTTTAAAATAAACCACCTCTAGACTAAAATTAAGCATCTCAGAACTAATAAATCTGAAAACAAGATGAGTAATGATGATCTAAGTTTTAAAATCTTGGCCAGATCAGTGTAGTTACATAATGCATCTTTACAGGAGAAGAAAAAACACAACTCTACACATAAAGTTCCTCTCGGTACAAAGTTTAGAGGGAAAACAGGAGCGTGCACAGCTCCGCCTCCAGCCTGTTGCTAAGAGACGCTTCCAAAGAGGCGATTGTGTGCGGGACAGGACCAGGATATCCTGTTTCATCCTGTTTCCGTGACAACAGCCGAGCGCTGGACACAGAGACGGTCGCTCTACAGAGACCTGGGAAACACTCAAGTATGGCCTTCCTTAAAATACACGCAGACTTTTACATTCTCACAACTTCAGGGACATTACAGACCCATTAAAATCCTTTGTCATCAAAATAAGAGCCCAACAACACATTTTCAGTGATTAACAGACATAAAACTAATGATTTTTAAGTCTAAAATATAATCAGTTTTGAATTTCCAGGGAAGAAGTGTCAGTTTGCTTCTTTATTACCAAAGACGGAGAAAATAGTTTATTCTAGCTCTAGTTTCCCAAAGACTGGATCGTGACACTCAGGTGGGTCACAAGAGATTTTTTTTGGTGTGTCGCTTTGACACAGAATCTCCACGCACCTCCCCGCTCCTCACTTTTTTGGCAGCACCGCCTTTTCTAACCAATTTTCTGTAGGAAACACTGATTTTTCTCTGTTTAAAACTCGAGTACCGTATTTTTCGGACTATAAGGCGCACTTAAAATCTCTTAATTTTCTGAAAACTCAACAGTGCGTCTTATAATCTAGTGCACCTTATGTATTAACTCTGGTTGTGCTTACTGATCTCGAATAAATTTTCACATTTATTCCACTGTGTCGTGTGACCGCTCCTTAGCAAGCAGAGTTTTTTTTTTTATCGCTTAGAGTTTATGTAAATTGGCCATGTGGTTTTGTTTCTGTAAAACATAAACAAATGTGCCAAAGCTGCACTAAACACATTATTACTCAATGTATATTTGAGTCCTCCTCATAGGAAATAAAAAAGTCTCAAGTGTCGTCCGTTTGTTTTCGCTTAACGCACCTTATGGTCTGAAAAATACGGTAATATTAACTGTTCAGACAGACACGATCACTCAGTCAACAATAAAATATCCTCATTAATATTCAATAATGGTCACAAATTTATTTTCTGATTTATGAATAATGTCTGTTGACTTGGGTCGTGAAAATTTTCTTTTAAAATATGGGTCAAACACTGTTCTAGCCTCAAAATGATAACGGTAACGTACGTACATCCGGAATTTAGAATGTTTTTGTGCACAAATGTATCTTAAATCCCATCACCCCTTTTAATTTGATCAATCCATGAACAGGAAATTCATTAGTCCATATATTAAACTGTATCAGGCCTGACAGAGAATCTGGGTGAAGAGTTTTGCACAAGGACACAGGTGAAGCTGTGACTGAACCTCTGCCCTTTCCTCTGTGATATAAACAGTGTCAGATTCTCACCGCTCGTAGTTGATGCTCTGATCGGTGAGTTCTGTTTTCAGAGAGTCCATCTCACTCTGCAGACAGGCCACTTTAGTCTGAGAGCGGAGCAGCTCCTGTTTCAGACGCTGGTTCTCCTGCACAAAGCACATGTTACACTAAAAACTGTAAATCGTATAATCATTACTCATAACTCTATGTACCGCACCAGCATCAGCTCATTGATCTTCTTCTTGAGGGCAGGAGTCTCGTCTTTCACAGCGATGTTCTTGTACTTTTCCTCAGCCTGAAGGACAGAGGGCAAGTTTCAGAAAGTTTATCATTCTTTATGTAAAAGCAGCAGATTCATGGACATGTCACGTGTGGTTACACAACCCAGTTTACTGTCTGTGAATGTGTTTGTGACATGAATCAGCCTGGATCATAAGTCTCTGACATATGCACATGTTCTGTCTGTGCAGCACACGCCTGTATGTTATATGTATATGTTATACTTATACACACTGTTGGGCAAGTTACTTTAAAGCTGTAATGTGTTATTTATGACTTGTTACTGTCATTTCAAAGTAATTTGTTACATTACAATATTACTGTGTTTAAAATGGAAAACATTACACGACTATTGTAGCACTTTAAGTTACTCTCACCAAAATAACTGTGCGAAGATGCTGAACTTTTGCGCCGTATATGGACTGACCCAGGTTTAAACCAGGACTAAACCAGGACTAAACCAGGACTAATCTTGAACTAGAACTTGGAATCTAGGACCGCCCCTGAGAGAACCCCGAGTCCGTGGAACAGGATGTCTGCAAGGCGCGATCGGGCATCAGCTGCGGTTAGCCCCGTGGAGCGCGGACTTCTGCTTTTCGGCGTTTCACCGCTGCTGATATCGTGGTCAATTTTAGCGAATTTGTATGAAGAAAACCCACCACTTCAACCCAGGTTAAAAAAGTATTGTAACACACATTACTTACATTTGTACAGAGTAAAATATTGCAATTTTTTTTTTTCCCTGTAATGCCTTACAGTACTGTGTTACAGCAAAAAGCAATGCATTACAGTAATTTGTTACTTTTATAATGCGTTACTCCCAACACTGTTTACATGTTATACTTATATGTTATATTTATATGTTATATTTATATATGTTATAGGTGACAGTGAGACACTCACCATCTGCATTCTCTGGATCTTACACTGCAGCTCACACACTTCAGTCTCGTAGCTCCTCTTCAGCTCGTTCAGCGCTGCCTCCAGTCGCTTCTTCTCCTGTGAAACGCAAAATATCAATCAGTAAAATGGGGTTTACTACTGAAGGGCTCATATTACATTATGTTCTGATCTATGTTATCATGTTGTGTCCTCATCACAAACAGACCTGGAGTTGTGTTTTGTTTAACACACAAATCCTGCATATTTAGGTTTAGAGTTTTTCTTTCAAACAGAAAACACTCTTACCACATGACATCACGAGGGGGAACAAAGGAAGTGCTCCACTGTGTTTTTAAACTCCCATCATTAGATTCATTTGGATCATTTCAGCTCTGGAATTGCCAATCTCTATTCAACTGAAGTTAAAAGGAGCTGTTAACTTGAAAACTGCCACTTCATGACATCACAAGGTGGAGGCTGTAGACAGACTAATAATGCAGGATTACTCAGACACGTGTGAATGAAACAAAACACAACTCCAGGTCTGTTTTTGAGGAGGTAACAACATTTTAACACGGCTTAAAGCTCAAACGAGTCAGTTTTTGAGGTATATAGGACCTTTAATGTATTTCAGAGTTCTACATTTAGATCTGGTCTGTGTTCAACTTTCATCTTTCTGGACATCACAAGGCGAACAGTAATGGCTCATTTAAAAAAAATAAACAGACTGTGATTCCGATTTTTCTATTTTCTAAAACCAGGATATTTAGTTGTTTATTTTTAGAGGAAATTATGGAAGGCAAAAAATGTCAGTCCTAATATAAAGTGTTCAAAATTGACTGAGGTGCCAAGTCTACATCTGGACTAAACTGGACTAAAACCAGGACCAGCGTGAACTTTCCATAAATTTCCGAGATTCCAGGTTTTCCCAGTGCAGCGGTGAGAAACCTGCAGCTGAGTGTCCTCCAAATATGTGAAAGCTATTAATAACTCAACAAACAAGAGTCAGGCAGGTACTCTTACATAAGAACACACACACACACACACACACACACACAGACACACACACACACACACAGACACACAGACACACTGTGAGGAAACTGGCCCAACGTGATCAGAGTAGGAGGCAGAACAAAAAAGTGCGTCTTTGACCGGACAAAATTTACTTAAAAACAGACTTCCGGTACAACAGTGTAAAATAAAGTACAAGTACTGGTCAGATAAACAGAAAATAAGTAACACAAATCCAAAGCAGCAACAACATGTACCCGTTTGCACAGAAGTCTCTCTCAATTAACACCACCTGCTCTGCTTTATAACCCACTTCAGCAGGAAGTACCTCCTGCTCCTGTCAGGCAACTTTTAAAAGTAAAGCAAGGATTTGTTTGTTTGAACCCAAGTCCCCTTTTAAATCTAAATATTTAACATAAACTAAACTGTGGAAAACAAACTAAAAAAGAAATACACAAAAATAATGAAACAGAACTTAAACCAGGGCTCCCCTCCACGTGGTCCAGCCCACGACCTCGTCCTAAGTCTTCAAAAATTTCCGACATGAGGCACACGTTCTTTTGTCTGGACCATGTGGAGCTGCAAGTATGTAAGATGAATATGGAAACATACTTAAATATACTTTATTAACAAATAAAGTAGATTTAAATGAACAATGTCTGATGTGATAATTAACAAAAAGAACTAAGAATTATACGTAACCGTTAGGTAGGATATGGTATCAAATTAACTAATGTGAAATTAAACAAATTAACGAGAGCCTAAAATGGGACAAAGGCCCATTTTGTCACACGCACATACACATATACAGACATTACACACTTTACATCTGTGCATATTGGTTGTAATTAGCAAATTAGGCAGCAATTATTTATGTAATATATTGATACTTTGCCGTGACATCAGACTGGCTGTGTTCTACATGTATGTGTATGGCAGAATGCTCATCAATTAGCAAGCACAGCAAGCACTTGCAGGATTTCAAAAGTAAATTGTAAATTTTAAAGCACTAATTAGCACTAAAAGCACACAGGGGACGGGGATAAGTGCCTACGCTCCCGTAAAATGTCAAAATATACGAAGGATCCTATTTTCTGAAATCTAAGCGCACAGGACGCGTTGCTCCATAAGCGCGTCTAGTGCATGTGGTGGAACCGCCCTCATTCACTTTCCATGCATTCTAAAAGTTATGTGTCCCAAAGTTGCAGTTTTTACACTTGCGTAGAGCGAAATACGCGTGCGGTGGAGCTAGGCCCTAAGCACAGGATCCGGCTGGTACTGATGTGGTGCAAAATCTTTTAACATTCACATAAAACAGCCCGGACTTACCTACACCAGCAGCAATCACTTATTGAACTTTTTGACCCTGATAGGTACATGATGGACAAATCCAAGAAAAGACAAGTTTCTGAAGAAAACAGAACGTTTAATGCTACGTGGGCAGATGCATTCACGCTCCAGTACACGCGATAAAATAATGACAGAACACAGAAGCAGACGGTGTTTTTGTTTCGCTGCAGGTGGATAATTTAAGTTCGGATTTTTATTTCCTACAAGGAGACAAATAGACATTGAGTATTTTTTTTGAGAATAAGCATCTATATCAAATGTGTCTTTTTCTGGAGTTAAAAATGTTTTTGTTACATGCAGGAATAAAGTTCCGTGTTCTCTGTAGCATTTCATTTGATCTGCGTCTTATTTTTAAAAACACAAATTGCAAATCGAATGTGGAATAAAAAAACCACAATCAGGTATATTTGCTGAACTGGCTCAGCCCAAACCAATCCCAGAAATTAAATATAAAAAGTTTGTGATTAATGAGCCGTCGTGGAGATGTGGTTTGAGGGCTGCAGTCTCCTGAGGTGTGGTCGTGTCTATGATTCAGAACTGGCTCTGTTTGTTTAAAGGGACGAGCTCAACAAACTCTGAGCTCAGACTGAGGCAGCAGAATCAACAGGAAGGACTGTCGCAGAATAGAGCTGATGGTGACTGATCACAGTTTACGATTTCATTTTATTACGTCGTTTTTTAAAAATATAATTGCAATTTAATTAAAAAAATTGTCCAAGAATCACATGCACTTCAGTACAGAGGTTGAAACTACCACAGGAACAACTAGATTTGTTTCTATAAAAAGAAGATATTTTGTTCTTTACAGAGGAAATTCTATCATCTAAATAACAGCAGCCTTTGTGATTTGATAATAACAGTTTTGGTCCTGGTTTGGCGCTGGTTTAGTCCTGGTTTTACCCGTGGTTTTAGTCCTGGTCTGGTCCTAGTTTAGTCCTGATTCAAACCTGGTTTAAGCCCTGGTATGCTCCTGGTTTAATCTTGGTACAGACCTGGTTTTAGGCCTGATTCAATCCTGGTTTAGTCCTGGTACAGACCTGTTTCTAGTCCTAGTACAGACCTGGTTTTAGCCCTGGTTTTAGCCCTGATACAGACCTAGTTTTAGTCCTGGTCTGGTTCTGGTTTAGTCCTGACTCAATCCTGATTTAGTCCTGATACAGACCTGGTTTTAGTCCTGGTTTTAGCCCTGGTTTTAGCTCTGGTTTTAGCCCTGATACAGACCTGGTTTTAGTCCTGGTCTGGTTCTGGTTTAGTCCTAATTCTATCCTGGTGTAGTCCTGCTACAGACCTAGTTTTAGCTCTGGTTTTAATCCTGATTTTAGTCCTGGTTTAGTCTTGGTACAGACCTGGTCTGGTCCTGGTTTAGTCCTTATTCAATCCTGGTTTAGTTCTGGTACAGACCTAGTTTTAGCTCTGGTTTTAATCCAGATTTTAGCCCTAGTTTGGTCCTGGTTTAGTCCTGGTAAAGACCTGGTTTAAGACCTGGCACAGACCTGGTTTTAGTCTCGGTTTTAGCCCTGGTTTTGTACTAGTTCAGTCCTGGTTTTTGTCCTGGTCTAGTGCTGGTTTCAGTCCTGGTTTCAGTCCTGGTTTCAGTCCTGGTTTCAGTCCTGGTTTCAGTCCTGGTACAGACCTGTTCTCTGGTCTTCCTCTCTGCAGCGTGGATGCGATGGTCCATCTCTTCTTCCATCTCACTCAGCTGCATCGTGGCCTGATCCTGAGCTCTGCACAAAAAACACTTTCACAATTAAACTTTGTTCACTGAAACTTGAACTTTTCATACACCGATTCTCTGATTATATCAAAATATCTCCCCATGACCTCTTGTATAAAGCTGAGATTATATATTTTATTACTTATTTTTCTATTTTATTTTGACTTGTACATTTACATTTATATAATTATGTCTTATTTGACTCCTGTCTCATGCTCTATTTTGCTACTCATTTAGAACTTACTTTTACCGTTTATATTTTTACTCGTTATTATATTATATTATATTATACTGTGATGTGTGAGCTACTGTGTACAAATAATTTCCCTCATGATTAATAAAGTTTGTCTAAGTCTAAGTCTAAAATGTTAATGTATTTGGTCAATCTTAGAACTTCTGACAGGTCAAAACTAACAACTAGCATGCTAACAAGCTCTTCCTAATTATCATACAATAAAACACTCTGTACTGTTTACAATGCAGACACACAGCTGACATAGTTCGACCTCAAGAGTCGTTTATACTAAATATCTGTACAGGGGCAAGATATATTTTGCTGAAATACATGAGCCTTTAAGTATTGTTTACAGTACAGTAGTGCCTTTTCACAATACCCATCCTTAACGCTAAATCATGATTAAACTGTGTGTAATGTGAGATGTGGCGCACAGACTAATCCTAAAACACACACTAACTGCACCTGCTTCATAAAAGAGTCACACAATGTCCGCCATGGTAACGGAAAGTCTCTATTCTGGAACCTTCACAGTGTAAACGTGTAAATCTGCAGTGTTGGTTGCGTCAGTACCGTTTGATGGCCAGAGCCAGGTTCTCCATCTCGTTGTTGACCTGTCGGATTTCTTTGGTGAAGTTCACGAGGACTTTCTCAAACTGTGGGATGAGACGAGGCTCCGTCAGGCTCAGGTTCTGGTACAAAATCGCCGCCTGGTTTGTCCTGAAACAAAAAAAAATGATGGAGGAGGTTAGAACAGAGAATCACAAAAAGTTTAAAGGTCCAATATTACGCTAAATTTAGGCAACAGTTATATGATGATGGTCTGAACAGAAAATGCAAAAGTGGTGTCACATCGTCACTTTTTATTCTGTGTTTAGATGAGCGTTTTCGGGAGGAAATCTGTGTGCATACATTGAAGCAAAACTGTGTGGAAGTCGATTGTGTATGATGCCAGGTTTCTGTGTACTGTATGTATGTGATGTAAACGTGTACGCAACGTGAGCAGAACTGACCAGAGTTTTGCGTCTTGGGCAGTTTAGACGGAAACGCTACGGCGGAGCGTATTGAACTTTTCCACTCTGGAGGATTTCAGATTTTTTAGTTTAAACAAAAGGCACTTCCGATAAAATATTTTGTTGTTTTTACCCTCAAGCGTTTGAACACGACCTTACTCATTGGTTGTCATAGAGCGTTGGAAAGTCAAATGTGAAAGGAGTTTGACTGGAAAGTCATAATAAGATTCTTTAGAATTCTTCTGAAAACAAGAAGGAAAAAACACAGGTATGCCATGTTTAAAACTCAAATTCACAGAGGCCAAAATTAAAAACTGGGACCAAGTCGTGGGTCAAACTAAAAATTTAATGAAAAATGTCAACAAAATCTGCATGTTTTCTCTACTTTTGAGATATGTAATGTTAAACCTTTTCTTATTAAAATAAATGTTTAATAATAGTTTTGCTTAAACACTGAATCCAGAACAAGCAAAATATAAAATAATAACATTTTAAATAAATAATGTCTCTATAGTCTATCTGTAGCTGGCGGTCCAGCTCTAATACATATTTGATATGAATCTCGTGGGCCAAATATAATTATATCGTGGACCAAAATTTGGTCTCCGGGCCTGAGTTTGACATGTCTGCCTTAGAGGAAGAAACACAGGTTAAGTCACGTTTTAAACAATTTGCAGTGGTCCAAAGTTATTCCTCACTTACTTTATGTTTTCTGAGCACCCTGATGAGTTTAAAGCTAACACGCACTTCCTGATTATTAGATGCAAACAGTACACAGGGGACACTGTATTTCTACGTCAAGAGCTGCTAATACAATATATCTGCATGATTTTTTTTTCCATATATGTAAGCAAATTTTGACCTTTCCCAGTACACAGTTCCCTTAATGGTCATTACGTTAAAAAGTCTATTTATTTAAGCGTGTATCATCTGATTTGTTGCAGCAGCAAACATGTTCTAACACCGATAGACTGTAGATAATGTCCTTAGGTTTGGTTTGATTATGGACAGACTTCTCTCTTCTTCAAAACCTGTCGCGGGGGTCCACGCTCCTCTCAGCTGACTGCGCCTCTGTGCACGGCTCAAATGAGGAGCAGTGTTCAAACCAAAACCACTGCGGAAAATCAATGATGAGGGGACCATCTTATGAGAGCCCCAGAGATAATGTGCTCCAGAAAATACACAAATAGAAGCTCTGGACACGCCTATTAAAGGTGCTTTGTGTAACTCTGCTGGTGGGCGGGAACTGTTGACGTTGTGAGGATTAAAATAAGTACTAGATAAGCTTTGACTGGAATTATTTGGATGATTTCAGCTCCGAAATTGCCAATCTCAAATGAATTAAAAAGGTAAAAAGGACCTATTAACTTGTGAATGAAAAGAAACACAACTCCAGGTCTGTTTGTGATGACGTAATAACATTTTAACATGACTTAAAGTTCACAAGAGTACAGTACATTTTGTGTAATATCGGAGTTTTAAAAATACACAGTTGCATGACATAACATTTGATTTCTTAAGTTTGTATATATATTTTTTGCCTGCACCTGTTTTTGAGTTAAGTTAAATGTTGTTTTTGTGAATACACACTTACACCATTTGGAACTCGCGCCCGTTAAGTTACAAACAGTGGTGTAGTGGAGATTTTTTAAGTGACAACTTGGCATGCCGAAATACACACAAGTGACATATACTTTGTTAGTTTATTTAAAAAAAACACTTTCAGTACAAACATAAAGGCACCAGCCCAGTAAAAATCAGTAATATTTGGTGTTTTTTGACTCGAAATAATGCGGAATCATGTTAATGTTAACGCCGTTCATAAACTCACCTAAAGAACATAAATCATACACTACAACACCTGAACCGGGACTGAACCGGGACTGAACCGGGACTGAACCGGGACTGAACCAGGACTGAACCAGGACTGAACCAGGACTGAACAAGGACTGAACAAGGACTAAAACAGGACTAAAACAGGACTGAACCAGGACTGAACCAGGACTGAACCAGGACTAAAACAGGACTGAGCCAGGACTGAACCAGGACTGAACCAGGACTGAACAAGGACTGAAACAAGGACTAAAACAGGACTAAAAACAGGACAGAATCAGGACTGAACCAGGACTGAACCAGGACTGAACCAGGACTGAACCAGGACTGAACCAGGACTGAACCAGGACTAAAACAGGACTAAAACAGGTCAAAGCCAGGTCAAAGCCAGGACTAAATAAGGACTAAATAAGGACTAAATCAGGACTAAAGCAGGATTAATCTTGGACTTGAGAAAGAGCACCCATCTCCGCCAGTAAATAAAAATAAAAGCCTCACAGAAAGTCATAATTACGAATTTTAAACTCATAATTATGATGTTTAAACTCCTAATTATGGACTTTAAATTGAATTAGTAAAATAACTACACATTTTTACTTGTAGTGGGTTCATACATGACTTCTGCAGGAAAATGGTCGCACCAGCCCGCCTGCTTGCATGGTGAGAGCAGGTTCAGAGTCAACTTCGAAAACTCGCAATTATGACTTTAAAACTCGCAATTATGACTTTAAAACTCGCAATTATGACTTTAAAACTCGCAATTATGACTTTAAAACACGCAATTATGACTTTAAAACTCGCAATTATGACTTTTTAAACTCGAAATTATGACTTTAAAACTCGCAATTATGACTTTAAACTCGCAATTATGACTTTTAAACTCGCAATTATGACTTTTTAACTCGCAATTATGACTTTTTAACTCGTAATTATGACTTTTAAACTCATAATTATGACTTTTAAACTCGCAATTATGACTTTTAAACTCGCAATTATGACTTTTAAACTCGCAATTACTTTTAAACTTTTAACTTCTCGCAATTATGACTTTTAAACTCGCAATTATGACTTTTAAACTCGCAATTATGACTTTTAAACTCGCAATTATGACTTTTAAACACTCAATTATGACTTTAAAACTCGCAATTATGACTTTTAAACTCGCAATTATGACTTTTAAACTCGCAATTATGACTTTTAAACTCGCAATTATGACTTTCAAACTCGCAATTATGACTTTAAACTAAAACTCTCATAATTATGACTTTAAAACTCGCAATTATGACTTTAAAACTCGCAATTATGACTTTTAAACTCGCAATTATGACTTTAAAACTCGCAATTATGACTTTAAAACTCGCAATTATGACTTTAAAACTCGCAATTATGACTTTAAAACTCGCAATTATGACTTTTAAACTTGTAATTATGACTTTTAAACTCGTAATTATGACTTTTAAACTCGCAATTATGACTTTTAAACTTGTAATTATGACTTTAAAACTCAATTATGACTTTCTGTGAGGGTTTTACTTTTTGTTTACTGGCGGAAATGGACTTCCATAATATTGTTTTATTATTATTTATGTTTTTATTTCAGGCAAGTAAGAGATTCACATTCTTTTACAAATGAAACATATAACATTAGGGAAATCATAATAGAAATAACCGGGGAAAAAAAAAGAAAAATACTGCCCAAAAAGAGTGGGAAGAAGAAAATTTATCTCTACTAGTATTTATCCATGTATCCATCCAGTTTGTCATATCTATATTAGTATTTATCCATGTATCCATGTCAGCTGAGTGGTACTTCTGTTTCTAGGTAATATAACGACTTGTGTAAACAACAAAATGAGGTCATAGTGAGCGTGAAACCTGCAAACCCTGCAGTTTATATCTCAACAAACATGACTGTTGATTCTTGAATTGGTTTATCAGTTCATATTTCAGGCAGAGTTTCTACGTGTTCGTCGATGACATTTACCGTGGTGACGCAACGCAAACACGGCCAAATTGTTTTATGACAGTCAGGGGAAAAAAAACTAAATGGATTTTGAAAAACACATTTTCAGGAGCCTGTGATCAACGAGTGTTTATTGTCGCGTTTAAGAGTTTGATTTTCGACAAAAAGGTGAAAGAATTTTTAACATTATTACTTAAATCTGACCTTGAAAGTGGGTGAAAGTGATTAAGTCTAACTTGGGTAACAGAGCTTCAGACAGAGCAGTGCTTATAGTCAGCATCACACCCCAGAGAATTTTGATGACCTCAGCTTCAAAGTACCAATAAAGGTGTAGGTTAAGTTCAATAGCGGCGCCTCTTAATGACCAAAAGGGAGTTGTCCTGTTTTATTTAGATTGTAAAGTTATGATCAAATATTAGCAAAACCCAAACAGACAAAAGTGAAACTAAACTGGTATTAGGACTGTGCAAAAATATCATAATATCAATATATCGTATTGTTTAATGTGATGATACAGTATCAATATAATCGCCAACAGTATTTTTTGGTATATCCATCCATTTTCTTCTGCTTATCTGGCGCCGGGTCGCGGGGGCAGCAGTCTAAGCAGGGACTCCCAGACTTCCTTCACCCCAGACACCTCCTCCAGCTCCTCCAGGGGGACCCCAAAGTGTTCCCAGGTCTGTCCAGAGACGTAGTCCCTTCAGTGTGTCCTGGGTCTCGTTTTGGTGGTAAATGCCCAAGCCACCTCAACTGGCTCATCTCAACGTGAAGGAGCAGCGGCTCTACTCCGAGCTCCTCCCGTGTGACTGAGCTCCTCCCCCTATCTCTAAGGGAGCGCCCAGCCACCCTGCGGAGGAAACTCATTTCAACCGCTTGTATCCGCGATCTTGTCTTTTTGGTCATTACCC